TGGCCTTAGGTGGCCCCTGTATGCAGATGGCCTTAGGTGGCCCCTGTGGAAGGTTCGTTTGACCCCCAAAGGGCTGTGACCCACAGGTGGAGAACCTGCTGTTCCAGAAGATTAGAGTCCATGATGGCAGAACAAAGGCAGGGTCGCAGGAATAGCTGAGCACTCACACCATGCATGATCCGAAGTGAGAGGCAGAGAGGCACTGGGAATGGCCTGAATCTTGAAACCTCAAATCTCATTCCCAGTGACTACTTCCTCCAGCAAAGCCACACATTCTAACCTCAAACAGCACTGGCAAGTGGGGACCAAGTATTCAGACATGGGCCTGTGGGGGCATTCTCATGCAAACCACCACTCATCTGATTCCAGCCTAGATAAGCTCCCCAGGCAGATATCTGACACATAATGTGAGCTACTTAAATAAATAATACTCAAGCAATCACACCTTCAAAAGTAAATTCAATATATTTAATCTAGCCCAATTTATCTCAAATTTTTTTTCAGCATACAGTATAAAATATATTCTATGATTGTGTCTCTAAGGTCTATTGTGTTTTGCACTGGAGCACATCCATCTGAACACTAAACTCTTGCAAATACTTCACCTGTTGACTGTTGTAAGATATTTAATAACTATTCTTATTGTGACCCTGTCAACCGTCTAATAATCAAGATAGAGGCCAAACTATTTATTTAATCAGCTTCAGCATAATTACTGGGTGATTACCCCTAAACTATTTTTCAACGCTAGACTGGCTATTTCCCAGCTGTGCTCCCCAAGTTACTTGCCAATAGTCTTAGGCTCCTGGTCCATCACATCAAATAGTGACCTGGTCTCTCTTCTCAGCACTATGACAAGCCCTGCCTACCTCTATTCTCCCCAGTAATTGGCTGTCAGCCACTTTTATTTAACCAGTCACAAAAGATTGGCAAGCAAAGTTTTATAACATCATATGGTGTACACAAAAAGAGACATGCAACCAGATCCCGGGAGCTAGTATTTGGCATCTGAATACCCAGCAGAACCAGACCAACCCCAACAGTCCATACCAAAATTTGCAGTTGAAAATTCATACATAAACACATACACGCACATGCACACACACACACACACACACACACACTATCCCATGCACACTTAACTTTTCTTGGCAGTTGACTCCCTGCTTCTAAAGGTAGAAAAGTTAAAAATTTACTTCTTTGGTCACTCTGCCCACAAGTCAAGTGCTCAGTAACAACCTGTGTCTGCCCTGTTGGACTGTGTCAGCCTACAGAGCTCTCCCCTGTGGTCACTTCAACATTCATTGAAAGGATGTATAGATTTTCATCTTAGTTTTCACTGAGAATACAGTATGATTAATCCTTCCTATTCTCGCTTAATTCCAAAGTTATCTTTTCTATATTTTCTTTAATTTCTATTTTTTTCTACTTTCATCTGTCCTGGAATTTTCTGGGTTCAGTGCAGCTGAACCAGTTAAGTATATTGAGATTAGTTTGGGACTGTGGTCTTCTTGAACCTCCCTCCATGTCAGCATGCTACCCAGCCTCGGCCCCCTCTCACTCTACTCCCTTTGGAACTCTGGAGCTTCATCTTCTCAAAGTGCCTTCACATTAGTTTGGTTGTGGTAGCTGAAGAGATCTGACAGCCTACTTTAGTTCTTATCCATCCTAGTCAATCTTCCATCACATTGTGGGTGGCCTTAGTACATTCTCAAGACTTTAAATCATCTCTACTGTCCACTCATTTCTTGAAATAAACCGGGAAACTGTCCCATTATCCCAATGTGTATAAGATGTTTAAACTATTAATTTAAACAGTATTGGGTTCATTTAAATGACTGTCTTGCAGTGAGTTGGCCAGGAGGCCCGCATCTCCTTGTTCATGTATACGTAGACCCACGACAGGAGTGGGAATAGGGTGATTACAACAGCAATAGCCAAGTGCATTCTTCCACCACCTGGATTCCTATAAAAATAAAAAGTATTATATTTATTGAAGTCTAAGAAAATAAGTTGCTTTGGAAATATGCATAAAGTTTGAATTGGTAAAACATTACATCTTAATAGTTTCTCTTTATTGAAATTAATAGTGATTTGTATAAAATCTGTATATACTTTATATATGTTGCAAATGCCTTTTCCCATTCTGTTTTAAGGAATACTGATGAATTAGATTGCGCTAAAACTGATCTTTCCCTAATCAGTTTTTTTCTTGGACCCCTTGTAAGAAGTATTTGTCTCCCTGAGACAGCATCTTGCTGTGTGGTTCTTGTTGTCCTCATATTTGTTATCTAGCTCAGACTGGCCTTTAACTTGTAGAAATCCTCCTACCTCACCCCTCTGAGTGCTGGGATAAGAAGATACAGGACCATACCCAACTTTTCCCAGGATCTTGAAGACACTGTTGCTTTCTCTAGAGACAGGAGGTTCTAAAATACAAGACCTGTCTGGTAGAGAGTGAATTCAAGGCCAGACAGGGCAACTGACACCTTGCCTCAAATAAAATGTAAAGAGACCTGGGGATTTTATCTCACTGGTTGAACAAATACCTTACCACATACAAGGCCTACATTTTGTCTCCAGCATCACAACTATGAATAAACTTTAAGAATCAACAAGTCCAAAATAGGAATTCCTGAAAACAATTTATTGCATCGATGCATTGATGATAAACTCTTCAAGTCAACTGAATGTTTCGATGAACTTGTTGATTTAATCTAGGATTTTAAGAATATTGAACGCCTCTGTGGATCTTGTTCTTAGACATGTTTTTTTTTTTTCTTTTAGGTCTTACTAGGATTTATTAATGTGAAAATTTTAGAGACTCCATATTTGACCTTATTGGTTCTCTTGTTTTTGCATGTCAAATTTTCATTTAATTGGCTTTTGCTTTAATGTTTATTTTCTCATTTTTTTGATGTTCTCCTAAGCTTGAAGCCTAGCTCATTCGGCCCAGCCTCCTCATCCCTCACATCAGATATATACTACAGCTCAGAATGTGTATCTAAGCATGGTTTTCAAGCTACGTTTCATAAGTGTTACCCTGATTTGGTTCCAGATGGTTCTGATCTCTGTAGTGTTTTCTTTTTTAGCCTACATATACTTGAAAGCAATGTCCTAATTTCCAACTGTATAGCAACTGCCAAATTAAATTGTTGTTAATGGTTTGTATGTTTTAACTATACCATGTTCAGAGAATATTCTTTGTAGGATATAAGTTCTTTGAAATATGTAGGGAGTATTTCATAGCGGAACCTATAGTGTTTTTGAAATAGTATGTATGTGAAAAAAAAAAGAGGATTCTACCAGCTGTGTGTGTGTGTACACATGTGTATCTCAGTGTGTGTCTATCTGTGTCTGGGTGTGTGTGTGTAGGCTAGAGGTTGACATTGACTGTATTATCCGTCTAAAGTTGCTCTAAGATTTATTTTTATTTGATGTGTATGAGTATTAGCTTACATGTATGTAAGAGCACCACATGTATACCTAGTGTCCTAGAGTTTTAGCCATAAAATAATCCCCCATATTTTTCAAAGTCCTATAAAGTATATTCTTTGAACATAGTGTGATTAACATGGAAACCATTAACAACAATGTACATTTGGAAATTAGGACATTTGCTTTCAAAAACATTTGAGTCAAAAAATTATTTATTTTACGTGTGTGGGTGTTTTGCCTACATATTTGTCTGTGTGCCTGGCACCTGTGGAGGCCAGAAGAGGACATAAGATTCCCTGGGCCTGGAGCTAACAGATGGTTGTGAGCCACTCTGTGGGTGCTGGGAATTGAACTTCAGTCCTCTGGAAAAGCAGCCAGTGCTCCTAACCTCTGAGCCATCTCTCCAGCCCCTGATCCCTTGATTTTTACTAATAAGTTGAACTTACTTGGATGAGCTGTGGCACAGTGCCATCCATGCTGTGACAATCACCAGGCCAGACAGCTCCCTGGAAAACATTGCATTTCACATTATGAAGTGGCTACTGCTCCCCCACAGCACATCTCTTGGAATGGTACAGCCCCCCAAACAGACTGGGGTTTCATTTGTTGTTAGTTTCATGTTTTTAAGGAGAGTCGGTGCTTTGCATCGACTCAAATACAAAATCTAAACACACACTGTGAGAGCTGAGGGAGATGGCAGGGAGAATAGTTGTTTGTGGTGCTAATCAGACTAATAGTGTTAAGGAAAATGTGCTTGTGGAGTTGTGTGTCAGGTATGTGTGCCTTTTGCATTAAGAACAGCAGGCATAATGTCACTGTCACTGGAGGCTCCACTTGGAGTCCACCCTGATTCCTGGGCTTTAAGCTGGAGGTGACTCAACCCATTTAGTGTACATCCCCATCTGCAGATCCAGCGTGGCCATCTTTCCAGAGTGCATAGGTTAGAGTCCAGAACAAACCACACCTTGTCAGTAACACCTAACATACCTCTGGAGCATGGTGCCAGCAGACACCAGCAACGGGGTAGAAAAAAACCAGAAAAGGACTCTTAGTAAGGCTGGGAGCCAAAGGAAGGCTAATAAACTAAGAGTAAATGGTTCTGACCAAGGGAGGGGATGGCATGTGACACACTAAGCAAGGCTGGCAGAGACTGACCTGGGTGACTCAGGATGCTGTCCCCAGCTTATCAGACTGGAGTATTACTGTACTATGCTCTTGCTAGTTACAGGAAGGTCAGGGCTCGCCTGCCTGAAAGTAATGTGGAATTGGAATGGCTATGAGAGCCATAATGGTATAATGGCCTGCAGGAGGCAATGGCAGGTTTGAATCCACTCTTTCTTCACCTGATAATGGCTGTGTTACTGTCCCTGCTCCTAGTACAGTTGAGGGAGTTATACCATCATTGTGCACCGGGAAGCTGCTCTTGCAAAGAATTACTCAGGTCTGCCCCACCCCTCCAAAGAGCAAAAGCCACTGCTCACCTGCCTTCTTCCTCATTTAGGATGCTCTGCTTTGCATGGAGCAAGAAGTGGTATGCCAAGCCACCAGCCCACAGCGCGCAAAACAGCATGTGTATGGCAGACACACTCTTCCAGATGAAGTTGCCTACAAATGGATGCCCTGCAGCTGTTAATCAGGTCGGATCCAGAAGGGGGCGCTCTCTTATACTTGCTTTATAATACTTCCTTTTCTTTGGAGAGCCACCCTTCCCACACTACTTGCCCCTGGCCTCTCCACTTTCTGTTGCTTAGCTTGGTGGAATGATACATGTAAGCTTATGCAAAGAGGCATAAAGCATGTGCTTGAGTGTAAGACGAGCTTGCACCAAATAGGGGAACACATAAAAGCATGCCACACATTGCTGTAAGAACTAAGCACAGGGAGATTGGAAGGAGCAACGTAAACCAATGAAAAATGTAGAGGTGTGTTACAGACAGGATAAGCACTTTCTCTACACAATCGGCAGTTTGTATACATACATTTTGACTGCATTTCAAAGAAGAAAGTAGTTAACAACAAGAGTGGTGTTTCTCTAAAAATATGTAAAGATAAAAGAGCCGATCTGGATTAGGAAGAAAAAAAAAATGATGTGACAGGCAATGATCCCCAAGTCTGAGAAGACAGGATCACCACTGTGGTTGTTGCTCATCTGATCTAACACTAGCTGCAGGATTAAGATGTCAGTGCAGTGACCGAACCCTTCTCCCTTATGAACTAAATCTCATAAATAGCAAGAGGTCTTGAGTCGCAGTTGATAAAGGCTAGTATGCCCAGAGCCGGGGAAGTCTTCCTCAGATGGTCTAGGACCTCGACCCGAGGTGAAAAGGAACTACTCATCAGAAGGAAGGTGAAATGCCCGGAATCCTGTTTTTCTCTTGGGAGTTGGTCAGGTAGACTCCCATCATTCTAAGAACTCCAATTTGCTGAACCTCCGTGTAGAACCCACTATTCATACCTGTGACAAGGGGATTAAACCCAACAAGCAGGGTAAGTACTGCTGGGATCATGTACACCACCTGTTAGCAAAAAGGAAGTGTGAGGGTTAGGAAGGGTGCTCAAACATGGGAGCATTAGCCCAGCCTTGACTGTCTTCATCCCCAGCACTGAAAACAGGAGTACACTCAACAAGTGATACAATACAGACCATCTAGCAAATAAAAGTGCCATCAGAGCTCACCATGCTGAACGATTTTCCTCTGTTTCAGTAAGTCACAGAGGATGTGGTAATTCTGCTATGACCTTATCACCATATCAGGCTGTAATTTTACCTCCCTCCATCAGCTCTTCCAAGAAATGCTTTTGACTCCCAAGCTGTAATGTCAATGCTGGCCTTCCAGTTTCTCCCAAGCAACTTCCATACCCAGGGTGACCTTCCCTGCTTACATAAAAGAGCATCCTCTGAAAAAAACAGTCATGAATGGTCAGATAGCCCTGCTAGGCTGGACCCTCATGGACCATGTGACTCAGTATTCCAGTTGTGCGAGTGAGGTCACAGATAGCATCCAAATGATGTGTGGGTCTGACAAGACTGTTCATTTGGGAAATCGAGGTGGAAAGACTGTGGAAAGACTGGACTTGTAAAAGTCCCATTCCCAAGATTCATTGTAACAGACACTGGCACTCTGCGTGTGCGTGTTTGTGTGTGTGTGTGTGTGTGAACCAGGAGGCAAGAAGGGAGAATAGGTTCATAAAACTTGGAGACTTTCAGAGAGAGGGGGCTATTTCACTATATCAGTTTCAATGTTTAGAGTAGAAACCTTCAGTCTCTTCAGACATGACCAGAGCTGTTGTTTCAAGTTTTCACCTTGAGCAGAGCATGCACTTGGATCACAAAGTCTGTGTTAGCATTTCCTGCTCCATCTAAGCTGGTGACTGGAATGACAGCCAGTTGATACCGACAAGTCAGGTTGTCCCTGACAGATGGGCACTCACGCTTTTAAGGGTCTTTAGTGTGTAGAAATCACCTGGGTCTTGTGCTGAGTTGGGAGGTCTGCAGTGAGTCTTAGCATTCTGCCTTTCTGACAAGTCCCTGGATGGAACACTGCTGCTTTTCCAAGGACACACTTAAGGGGTCAATCCCATTCCACATGAATAACTATATATGACTCAGCTACTCAGGAGTGAGACAGACAGAGACAACCAGAGACAGAAGACCATAAACGAGCACACACCATACAATCCCCAATTGTGCTCTGTGAGAAATGTTCTGCATAGATTCTTAAACTGTGCACTCAAATGCCTGAATGTCTGTCTCAACAGACTACACAGCCTTATTCTTACTCAACTGTTTTATACACATATGAACAAATCAACCCCTGAGTCTCTCTCAGTAACTGTGATGTAATGACCCTTGTTAAAACGCTTTTCCCTGTCGGTAATTGGAGAAGATGAAAGAAGCTAGGGGTAGAGAGACGGAAAAGAATTGCTTCTCATACACCAGTTAAAACAATGGTATCGCATGCCTTTAATCTCAGCACTTGGGAGGCAGAGAGAGAGGAATCTCTGAGTTTGAGGCCAGCCTAATCTACAGAGTGAGGTCCAGGACAGCCAGGGCTGCACAGAGAAATGCTGTCTCGAAAAACTAAAATGAAACAAAACAAAAAAGCAATGCTCAGCAAAAAATACAAACGCAGAAAATTCACTTATAATGTCCTCTTCTGTTACTTTTGGGATTAACTAAATGTAATTAGTTTGTTAATTTATGAGTGAATGCATGTGCATTTGTGTATATGCATGTGTGTATGATCTAAGCGTTGGTGGTCAAAGGACATCTCTGTGAAGTCAGTTCTCTCCTTTTACTTTTACGTGGGTCACCAGGACCAAAATCAGGTCTTTAGGCTTCTGGGCAAGCAGCTTTACCCACTGAGTCATCTTGCCAGTCCTTTATTGATTTTTTTTTTTAACAATGGAAAAACTAAAGGTATCATAGTATCTTCTTAACAGAATTTAATTCAGTGGAGTCACCAAGTACCCTGGACTTGTTCCTAATTTCTGTCCACTGCAAAACTGTTTTTTTTTTTTTCAATCTCTTTAGCAGCTAGAAATAACCATGTCCAGGAATATAATATGGTAAGTCGGTGTCTTCCAGGGTTCAAGTTAATGACATACAAGGCATTTAGCAAGGTTCAGTTGCTTATGAATCACACTGAGACCCTAACAACAACACGACATGCTGATGTGTGCGAACCAAATGCCACCTGTCCAAAGGGCTTCTTGGGAAACATTTTCTCTGTAACTGAAGGGATGGAAGTTCAGGAGGAAACCTATCTTGCTCCTGCTTTGATTCCTCATCCATTGGCTATACTTCTCTGGAGATTAGAGAGGTCTGCAGCTGCAGCAGCTATTCAATAAACAGGAGGATGGCTGAGAAGAGAAAGCCCGAGCCCTTCATGTCACTGTTGACCATCAAGCGACCACCAGAGTTTTTAAGTGATATGTTCTGTATTGTTATAACCTGTTGTTATAACCCATATCCCAGTATTTGCCTCTGTAATGCAAGTAGCCTCCATGAGCAAGGTACAACAGGGAGTGTGGAAAGGAGCTGGGTGAAGTCCTAGTCTCCAAAGTGCAGAAAGCAACATAGTATTGTCCATTTGTGCATCCATTCCTTCTGCACTTCCCTCGGGAGGATCTTTATGAGGAAACTTTATATAAGGCTCCTAAGAAGAGGGAGAGCATGTCCTTGTCCTCCTGGGCTGGCTGCACAGCACATCAACCAAACCAGTTGTTGTTACAATGAGAGTTCAAGAAGGGTGGTCAGATGTTGAATTAATTATTTAAATCGGCTGCTAGTCAAGCCGACTATCTAAGCTGTGGTGGCTCTGCCTAGTTCAGCTGCCATGTTTCTCGGCCGGAGGCCATGTGCATGCCACAGCTAGAAACAGCCAGCCAGAAACACCAGCCCTGCCACCCATGAGACGTCTGCATGGGAGATGGCTCTGCCAATCTTCCACGCTGTCTCTGCAAGGCTGGGCATTGCCCAGACCATCCCACCATCCACATGGGCCCAGTAGGAAAATGAGACTCTAATGCTTAAATTATCCAAAAGCTTATATATTTGGTAATGATCAGTAACAAGATGCCCATACAATCAGAAGTGTAACCCAATACTTAACCTAGATATACCAACTACCTTTGACTGCTACAGACACGTGAACATCCGCCTCCATGTTCCTCCCTCCCTCCCTCCCTCCCTCCCCCCCCCCCCCTCCCACATCTCTCTCTCCTTCTCCCCCCCTCTCATTCCTCTCTCCCTCTCCTAGCTCCTCCTCTTCCTCTCCTTACTCCTCCCACCTTAGCTCCTCCTACAGTCAGATCCTCCTAGAAAGAGGCAGAGTGATTGAGATGGCATCTGTGGTGGTCCCAGGAGCTGGGTACACAGCAGCATGCTAGGGGCAAGGCACAGTAGCCATTGTTTCTGGACTAGATTTCAAAGACAGTGCTGGAAATGTGGGATGGGCCATGCTATGGTGGGCCTAAAGAGCAAATGGAGGTGTTCCAACTTGGCTTGGGAAATAACAAAGGGTTTGAAAGCAGACAGTGATGTATAGGCAGCTAAGAGGCAGAGGAGAAAGGAGGCAGACAGAAGAGGTATAAGGCTGTCTTCAGGGGAAGTCGGAGGACTGAGTGGGAATGAGGGAGGATGCCCATCAGAATGTTTGACCTGTTTTTCATTATCCATACATGAGCAAAGGTAGGATGCTCAGGCACTGTGCATGTAACTATGCCTAGAATGGATGTTGTTGAATTCTTATTTCACTTTTACTTTTGACAGCATCTCAAGGCAGTGATGTTAAAGGTGACAGGTTTTGCGTGAAGATGCCTAGGTAGTTCTGCTGAGATCAGAAATTATGGGTCAGGAGGTGGAGGGAGGAAAGGTGTTCTCTGGGATCCCAGACATGCTTCTAAGAGCAGCAAGGTGGTGGAGGTGGCTATTTGCTGTGATCTTTTGTTGAATCAACATGGAGCTTCCTGCAGGGATATATGATTTTGAACCCAGGCTATGGAGCCAAGTGCTGAGGAGGTCATTTAATTTGGGGACAGGGGACTCTGGATAATAAGCAGTTTCAGAGTATGGTTCTACTGCACAAACATTCAAAGCAGACTAGAACTCGGCTCTGTATTCCCGGTTTTCTCACTTGTTGCTCTCTATACACAGTGAGCACTGTCTCCAAACCCAAGAATGAGTTCCTCAGTGATACTGTACAGTCTCCCTCCGAAACCATCTCTTGTCATCTGAGAACAAAAAGCATGGATGCACAGAAGCAATACACATCCTTGTCACGGCTGTCAGAACGGTTAGCATAATGTACGTCAAGTGACTAGCATGTTGTAGGTCCTTAGCAAATGATGGAACTCCTACTGTCATGCCTGGCGTAATCATGGGAAATGGGAGTTGCTCTCTCTGTGGAAAGACTTCCGTGTCTCCAGGAAGTTCAGAATTCACACCCCCATCAGATGATCAGAATGACTTCCCCCTCCAATGAAAACAATTAGGAAAGTAAGCTCACAAAGGTGTTCATTTCCATGTGAACACCTTTGTGAGCTTACTTTCCTAATTGTGCCCCAGGAGCAGAGCCATGTGTCAAATGGAAGAACATTTTGAAAGTAGCTCATACTCACCACCCACAACTCTGCATCTGGATCGTTCACCTAGAATGTCAAAACATCAAGGTGTTAGCTCACATTAGACCCATGTATTTACTATTATTAGACCTTGTATTTACTATTCATTGCAAAGAACTAGGCGCTACTATGGGCTCCGGGTACAGAACACCAGTGAGCTAGTCCAGCAGTCTGCCCATCAGGATGGCTGAAGGAACTCTCGGTTGAACACAACAGGTAGATCTAACACCCAGCCATGCATCTTTTGAAAATAATTGTTTGAGATTTCCTAAGAACTACTAGGGTGCATTTTAAGACCCTAGGTCTCAAGGTAAGAGGAGAGTTATCCTGAGGATGACCAGGAAGAGATCTAGGATGCTGTCTATTCTGTTTCCTTCTTCCTTCCAGGAGCTGAAATCCACTCAATCTCACGGGGGCTTAAGGTTTGAAAAGGTGTCAGAGCTGCGGTTCTGGGTCCCTTTCTAAGTGGCCAGCTGCAAGCACTTGCCGCTGATCAGGCTCTCAGCGTGTTGCCGAACCACAGGAACTCATGTTCTGCTTGAGAGGACTCTGAGGGTCCCAATTCTGCTCCACCCTAAGAACCGGCTGCCCGAGATTCGCGGTCCCTCTGCCAGCCCTCCACAGCCCGCCTGACCTGCACCACAGCGGCCAGGGCGAAGAAAGCTGCCATGAGCGTGTTGCAGGCCCGCCACAAGCCGGGAGCCCAAGGAGCCACTGGGGACGCCATAGCCTAGAAGCCTGAGGAGCAGGCCCGGCCCAGAGGGGCGTGGTCAGAGGGCGAGGCCGGGCGAGGGGGGCAGGTCCCAGAAGGAGGGGTGGGGCGCAGCAGGTGGGCGGGGTTAGGGGGCAGGGCGCAGACAACGGGGGCGGGGATAAAAGGCGTGGCAAGCCCTTCTTCCCTCCCCGCCCTCCTCAGTTCTAGGACGATCTTGCGGTGCCGACTAGTGGATAGGTGTGGCATTGCCCTTGCTGTGCATTCTTTTCCCTTAATCTTTCATTGAAAAAGCAAATGAGGGAAACAAAACAAACACAACAAAACAGCATAAACCAGAAATGCAAATGAAGGAGAGAAAGGAAAAGAAAAAGAGGGGCGTGCGTGTGTGTTCCAGTTAGGTTTTTTTTGTTTGTTTTGTTTTTGTTTTTGTTTTGTTTTCCCGTTTTCTGAGACAGGGTCCAGTGGCTGTCCTGGAACTAACTATATAAAACAGAGTGGCCTCAGACTCACAGAGTCTGAGCTCATTTACACATGCATAGTCCTAAATAGTCCCGGGGTTAGTATTTATGTGCTTCTTTCCAAAGCTCCTGTGCTTCCTGAGCGAGGAAACATTGTGACATTTCTGAAGTGAGCGACACAACAGAGTTCCAGCAGCAGCTCCCTTTACCTTCGTGCTTTTATTGTATAATACATTTACATATTATACATATTTCTATTTCTCTCCCACCAGCAAAATCATTGTTTCCAACACTCATTTGTTATGCATTTCTTAGAAGGAAAGACTTGAAAGTATTGGCAGCTCTCGGCTCACTTGCTTCAGCCGGTTTTGGTTTGTAAACTACGGTTGATAGCTCTTCTGGGAGCTCATTTACACATGCATAAACCGAATCATTGTTATTCTAAATAGTCTTTGTCACCCCAAATCCTGCATTCCGGTGCTTGACTGTTCCACTTTCCTTTTAACTAAAAAAAAAAAAAAGAAAAAAAGAAAAAGTAAACTTCTCAGAAGGGGTTTCCATTTAAGTTCAGCCTTTAGACCAGCATTTCTCAATCTGTAGGTTGAGTCCCTTTCAGAGCCAGAGGACTCTTTCACAGAGTTCCGATAAGACCAATCTGAAAACACAGAGATTTGCATTACAATTTATAGCAATAGCAAAATTGCAATTATGAAGTAGCAACAATAATAAATTTTATGGTTGGAGGCCACCATAACGTGAGAAACTGTATTAAAGGGTCACAGCATTCAGAAGGTTGAGAAACTCTGCTTTAAACTGAAGAAACCCCTTGTTTCAGGAATGTCACAGCATTCAGAAGGTTGAGAAACTCTGCTTTAAACTGAAGAAACCCCTTGTTTCAGGAATGTCACCTGCTGAGTACCTGGCATAGCTTTGGAGTGAAATTCCTTCCTCAGAAAAGGGAGCTTGGGGGCCTTGGAGAAGCAGGCATAACCATTATCCTAGGTGTGCAAGGGCAGCACCAACCACTCTTACTAATGTTGGGTGTGGCTTCTCTTCAGGTCTCTCCCACTAACCAGCCCTGAATGTCTGGGGACAAGCCAAGGTCAACTTCAGTGCTTTGTCTCTACCTGGAAAGAATAAAGCAGAGAGTGTTTGGGGCTGGATTACCTCCCCACCCCACTTCCAGCCACCATCCCTCAACACCATTTTTTGAGCTAACAGTCTTTAAAGAGATGGTTAAGTTAAAATGAGGTAATGGGCTGGTAAAATGGATTATCCAGTAAAGCAGTTGCAACACAAGACTAGCAATCTCAGTTTGATCCCTGCGAAAAGACAGGAGAAACTGACCACCCCCACCCCCACGCTCATCCCCCACAACCTTGGTGTGCCCTCAGACACACACACGAGCGCACACACATTGATGATGATGATGATGATAATTAACAAAGTAATAGTAAAAGCATTTTTATTTGTGCACACAGCATTCTGCTTGCATGCCAGAAGAGGGCGCCAGATTTCATTATAGTTGGTTGTGAGCCACCATGTGGTTGCTGAGAATTGAACTCAAGACTTACGGAAGAGCAGTCAGTGCTCTCAATCTCTTAGCCGTCTCTCCAACTAAAAAGAACATTTTAAAAACGAAGCCACAAGGGTGAACTCTATTCCAATAGACTGGTGTTCCTATAGGAAGAGGTATCGAGGACACAGGTGGAGAGGAAGGACTGTGATGCTACAGGAAAAGGCTCCATCTACACGCAGAGGCGAGAGGAGCAGAAGAAATTGCCATTGCTGGGGGAAGAACAGGATATGGAGTGGATGGTTGGAGGAGTCTACACGGAGTCACATGGTCTTCTCCTGAAGTATCTGAAACCAGCGAGGGCCAAGATACTCCAGCAAGCCTGTCGTGCTCCTGGAAAGCCTGTCTGGACTCTGGATTGGATTGGAGTGTTTGCAAAATTTAGCTCCCATTGTGAACACCCGAAGGCAAATTAAAAATTGATTTCCAATGAAAGGCATCTGACCTAAAGAACGCTCCTCAGAGGTCCCCACATGCCACTGGAAAGAGAAGACATTTAATGTTCCTCCTCTTTGCTGATGTCTAGCCATCTTTACTCTGGTCATGGGTATGAAGCGCATTGGACCATTTTCTTCATTCATTTACTAAATATACAGGACTTCCCACGTGTCTGGCACTGTGCTGATACTGCAGATGTGACATGGACACAGGGGTGAGCCCCGTGTAGTCTGAGAACTAAACATAATTAGAGAAATAACCAGGTGACCTCAGCGAGCAGGATATCGGGGACCGAGTGGGGACGACCTCTGTGGAAACGCGCACAGCCAGGACTCTGACCTTTTCCAAGGGTCCTTAGAATTTTCCTGATTAAAATGTGAATGAGTACAAGTGGTGAAGACAACATGGACCCCATGCTCAAGGCAAAGAAGAGCATATGTAAAGAGGCCCTGGTCCCCAAGGCCACCAGGCCACCCATTGTGGTGACGAATATAGTGAAAACAGTTGTTGTTGTTGGAAGGTGGGAAAACAAGAGTAAGTGCCTGAAGTTGGGCTTTTCCAAGGCCACGGAGAAGCCTCCTATAGGTTTTGAGACACATAGTAAAGCTTTTCAAGAAATACTGCTTTCCTTCCAAGACCTGGGGAAGCCTTAGGGGTCATCTGTGGGCGTGGTCTCATTTCTCCAAAGGCCAAAGAACAGGTCCCTCAGGACCTGCTTGACATCACTTTGCTCGCCTGTTAGCTATCTTGAAGACAGAAGGATTTTCCCACCCATAGCCTTGTCCTTTTACACTAATAAGATAACGGACGAGGGTGGACAGTAGACTTCAAAACCACTTCTCTCTTAATCTTGACTTTGGGTTTTACGGGTTAGGCTGTTGGAACTGTGAGTGTCCACAAGGTGGCGGACTTCCTCTTTTATCCGATTCCCGGGGCGGGGGGTGGGGAGGAGGAGGGGAGGAGGGGAGAAGGATCGTACCTCCCCTTGGATCTCCCCGGGGAGGTCTGATGTAGACTTTCAGGGTGGATATGAACTTGGAATCAGCCCGAGGTGAAGAAATACAAATAGAACTTTGTACCAGGAACCTTCACTTTTGAGCTGAGGCACTGCAAGGAAGGAGCTGAGTTTTGCTGTGTCATAGGCAGAGCTTAAACCCATTTGCTTCCCTGAGATTCCGCCCCTCCCCAGCAAACAATAATGATAATTGCATCGGTTGCCCTGTCTTTATGCAAGCCCAAGGTGGCTTTTGGCGTCTTAACAGCCCCTCAAGGTCTGCATTTGTAAATCTAAAGTAAGAGACTTGAGCTTCTCAGGGGTCCCTCTTCCTAGATGACACAATCACTACACAGTTGTTCTTTTTGTTAGTTGTGTAAGGGTGCCTTAGCAAATTATCCTGAAAGCAGAGAAATTATAATTTCCCTATCAAAACAGAGAATCGATTATCTCATGGTTATTGAGTGTGGAAGTCCTGTTAGCAGGACCACACTTCCCTGAAAAGGCTTAGGGAAAACGTCTGGCCTGTTTTTTCTAGGTTTTGGAGGCTCTTTCTGGCCAAGTTTCTCCTGTAGACTCTCTTGACTTAACCTTCTCTGTGTAGGTACCTGTCTGATCCCCTCAAACCTCAAGAAGTTCAGGCTTTTAGAAAAAAAAAGTCCTCATTCCCTCAGGGGCTTGAAGAAAATTTCTGCTTGCTAAAAAGAGAGTCATTGTCCTTATCTCTGGCTAGAGCAGCTTGTTGTGGCACTTCCATTAACCTGACTGTGGTGACTATTAACTAGGCCTCTAGGCTCCCTCTGTCTGGTTCACAAGCCCCCTTTCTCCCTTTCTGGTTTAACCCTGGAAATCTTTCCCAGTCTCATCTTGTTTTCCCAGGAGACAGCCTTGGTAGTTTGGAATAAACCTTTTCCCTTTCACCCACAGAGTGTCTATTTTGGCTTCTTTGCTGTGCCCATTTTTATTCAGTATCTTCTCTGTCTTGATTTTTTAAATTAAGATAGTGTGTATGCATGCATGTGTGTGCCCGTGTGTGCTTGTGTGTGTGTATGTGTGTGTCTGTGCTAAGATGTACAGTAGAAGTCAGAGAACAGCTCTCTCCTTCTGCCCTGCAGACCTTAGGGATTAAACTTTGATCACATCAGGCTGGGTGGCCAGCACCTTTACTCTCTGAAACATCTTGCTGTGATGTGGAGAGCTTTTGGGGCTGCTAGGCAGGAATCTGACATTGGCCAAGGACAAGGAAATGGGCTTCAGGCAGGAATCTGACATTGGGCCGTGACAGGGAAGTAAGTTCAGGCAGGAATCTAATTTTAGGCTAAAACAGAGAAGTAATTTCAGTCATGAATCTAAGTCTTAGGCTAGAACAACGAAGTAGGCTTCAGGCATGAATATGACTGTGGGCTAGGAAAGGGAAATAGGCTCAGATATTTTTGTCATCCTGATGAGCCCTTAGAAACACTGATCAAAGAGAATGGTCATGGGAGTGATCATGGAACTTCGTTTATTGCCTTGTTTGTTCCTTGACTATTTGCAGCTATTGTATTGC